TGGTTTCGGTTAACCGTAACCGACCGGTTACGGTTCGGTTTTCGGTTTTTGTTTTGGTTGGTTTAGTTATTTATTACTTTATTATACTACTTACTTTACTTTACTTCTCTCTCTCTCTCTCTCTCTACTATATATATATATATATATATATATATATATATATATATTCTGAGGACTGTCACTGGTGGATATCATGAGTAAAGCAGATAGGAATTTTTGCCCATCCCTACTGACCAGTGATTCTTACAGTTCAGGTCTTTATGCTTTTCAAAATATGGAAATGCAGACACTCAATGCACTGTCTCAAGTGGGTCATTCCTCCAGACCTCCCAACGTGTTTTCTTCTTTCTTCAAGTGGAGTATGGGGTTCTTGCCACTTCTGGTTCCCAGTCGCTGGAGTGGTGGGCCATGAAGGTTTCCTCACAAGTGGGTTTTATACAATAACACAATTTCATAGCCATATGTACTCACTCGATGAGAAGAGGGCTCTTGTTGTTATGCTGCATATTATGCACAAAATCTGTTATGCAAGGCACTTCCACTGGATGTTTTCTGCTCACATGTACCACACTTGACATAATCCAATGTATACCAAGAGGCTTCCCCCAGATGTTTTTGCCTAGGTAGACCTCACTTGGCTATCTTGATCTCAATCCAAGGTGCTTTTTCTGGATGTTATTCCCTGGGCAGACTGCACTTGTTGATTTTACAAAGTTATGCAATGCTCTTTCATGTTGTTTTTGTCCTTAGATCACACTTGGCATAATATGTCGTATCCCAAGGTGCTTCCCATAGATGTCTTCTGCCTGGGAGGACCACACTTGGCCTATTCATATACAGTCCTCTAACCCTAGCCATGTATTCTATTTGTTTCCACCATATGTGTCTTATCTTTTTTACTGGGTGAAGAGCATGTCTGTTCCAGAAGTAGTGCTATACCCCACAAGTGTGCCTCATATTTTAATTGTGGCAGATCTGCTTTTTTCATAGCGATCACTCTCCACTTGATTATTTGTTTTTGCACCTTCACCGACCTCTCCACCTTACCAAGGGGGGATCAGAGGTAGTACCGTTTTGGAAATTAACATTTTCTAACACTGAAGATGTATTTCCAATAGGTACTTAACTCCTCTCATCTACTTCCCACTCTCCCTCCCAATTAATTTGCTGGTGTTTTCGAGTTTGTTTATGCCGGTTCTTGAAAGTGAGGATTGTGCAGCAAGGGTAGAGAGTGCAATGGGATTAGTGGAGGGTGGTCACATGATCAACAAATGTTGCTGCAATGATGTAAAAAAATATAGGGTTTTAAAGACAAATGAAGGTCAAGATAGCTATGCATTTTCAATGTTAGAAAATGTTAACTTCCACAACATGTAACTCAAATTTTACATATGAATCTACTCCTCCCTCTCATTTTAGTAGTAGGTTCTTTCTGTATTTCATAGAAGTTTCTGTTATCACAATTTTTTACATTTATCCAGGTTTAGGTAATTCCCATTATAACAAAATCCTCAGTTCAGACTAATGCTCTAACATAATCTATTTCATTTGTTATATTTCAAGCATTACAATAGTAACAATTTAGTCAACCTATAAAACTACCTCTTTATTTTTTTGTTACACTACACTTTTTTCTATGTCTATATTTTTTCCACTTAGTTTAACCTGGCCCTCACCACTGTCTAGTTCTAGTTTAAAGCTGTCACTGTACCTGTGTTAATAGACCTAGAAAAGAAGTCAGCTTATACCCTGTTTAAATAGAACCAACCATTCCAAAAAGCTTTTTTTTTCCCATTGAAGTGATCCACATAAGTACAACCAACCATTCTGCTCATCTATACATACTAATCTTAACCTAGCATTCAACCCTATTGACCTACTTATAATTAAATCCCCACATTAAGTCTTGACACTATATATATATCCTTGGAACAATTACATTATGATCTGTTTCTTTAAATTTCTTTATCAATTAGATTTTCTGACCTACCCTACCTTATATCATTAGTCCCTTTGTGAACTACAAACATTGCATCACTGCTAGCACATTTTACTAAATCACTTGTTTTGTAAGTTATATATCCACCAACTTTGACCTTTGATAAAATATTTTTCTCCTTTCTTATCACACAGACTTTTCTATTCATATGCAGTACCAAAGAATCATGTATAACTATAATCTCCTTAAGTTTTACATTCTCATCTTCTTTTATCTGTTTTTTCCTGCACAAGCTGAGGTATGAAATATGTTACTTTAAAGAACCAGCTCATTACAATTAAATCAACTATTTCTAGCCTTAATATTATTGTTTCTAACATCCTGGAAGTCATTATTAATTACTGTATCCCTTACATGCAAAAGCTCCTCTTGAGATGATGCTTCAATCTCCTACAGCTTACCCTTACCTTTATTTGGCACTTTACTGTGTATAGAATAGCCTCCAATTTCTCTTTCAACCTGCAAACTCTATGGAAAGAAATTGCATATTTTCACTACTAGCTTCCTTAAAAGTTCTTATTAATCCAGAGTTCTCAATTAAAATTTACTCCTTGCACCCATCAAAATGTGAGTGACTAACAGACTACACTACAAGTAGCTTTTTTGACAAAATTATATTAAACAATTTTATGACATCATTATCTTCACACAAAAGTAATTAAGTTTATCTTACAATATAGAAGAGTCAAATAACTAGTCTTTGAATGATATTTAAGGAGTAATACAATGTATTTAGTCTGTTTAAAATGTACCAGTTAGCTGAATTACAGTAAAAGTACACCTACTAAAAATAAAGTACACTAATAATATTTACCAATATTATTAAATCAGGTGATCATTTTATTACTTACCTAAAGTTACTAGAAATAAGAACATTAATCAGATCCTTAAACAAATTTAACTTACCAAGAAATCAGCCAGTAAATTATGGCGTAATTGTAGAACCTGTGGTAGAAGAAATATAGTTTTCATTTATGTTAAGTGGACTTAGTATTATTTTTTACCAAATAATTTAAAAGAAACCACTTAAGAATAGCTTCAGGTACTGATCATGAAAAGAAACAAATTAAGCAAGGTTGAAATGATCATCTTTGTTGTAGACTAATAATATTACAAGATATTCAGCAATGGATGCACACTTGAGAGGTTGATCTGGAGCCTATATGATAGATCTAGGCAAAGATCATCTAAGTTTAGATCTATCTTTGATTCGGGAATTTCAACTTAAGCACAAAACAAATGCAGCATGGGAATAATTTTTATTATTGCAGAGCAATTTAGAAGTGCATGATTTTATATATTTTAATTGAAAATCCATCATTTTCACTTAAATAATTTATACCAAGTTTAATTTCTAAGAGTTTGGGCACCAAACACAGTCCTTCTTAAAGTTAGTTACTGGATTAAATAGGGGCTGTATTATACACTGTATTTTGAAATACATAATCATTTTCACTTGTTTCTTCATATTGGGTACAAATACAAAGTATTTCATAGTTAACTTCTAATGTATACTTTTTATAAAAAATTGAATCATAAAATGTGTTATTTAAGATCCATTATAAACAAAAATAACATTGTTTTGTTAATTCTTTTTATAAAAAATTTACAGGTGTGGTAAAAATGTTTAAATATTGTTTATGAACTGTGAATAATATGTTAATTTTAATAACATGAGAAACTTTAGGAAATTATATCTGTATCAGGTAGTATCTATTTGTAAAGAATCTTTTTGAAGGGTAGGCTCTACTCTTTCAGTTTAAGTGTTGAGTTTTTTTGTGAAACAAAAATGTAAAAGCTATTTACCAGATTTATTTACTTTTGAAAAATTCACAGCATGGACAAGATGTGTATCTGACTAGTAGAAAAAGGGCAACTTCAGAAAATGTGACAGATGAACATTCTCCAGAATTTGAGTTGGAACCATCTTGTAAATCCAATACTAAATATCTAGACATCATTGAAGTAGGAATGAAAGTATTTTTTTGGTTGTTGTTGTGGTTTCTGTTTATTGTACTTGAATTTGGAGCTGTTTTCTTTGTGTTTTCTATCTTCTATTTCATGTACAGAAACTTTAGAAAAACAACCAGAAAACCAGGTGAACTCAGTGCCTATTCAGTTTTTAATCCAAACTATGAAGCAATTCAAGGAACTTTGAAAGCAGAACAATTTGAAAGAGAACTGAAATTTGGTGCTGGCAGTATTCACTAATATAATTATATTTCATGGCAAATTTTTATTTCAAAAATGATTTATAAAGTAGCAACAAGTAGGATTTGATCTGGGTATGGGCTTCACTAATATAATAGCCATTTTTTCAAGTTACTTGACTAAATTGTGTTTATTGGCTAATGGTAACATATATTGACAGGCAAAAAATATTTTCCTTGTTATGTGTTTATTTATAATTTTCAGTTTAACATCAAAGGGATTGTATTTGAGAAATTATTGTTGGGAGTTTTGTAAAGCATAAATTCAGAACATTTTGTATACAATATCTGCAGTAGACATTTGACAGTATATGTTTATAGGCAATATTAAACCAACAATGAATATTGTTTTAGTTGTACTCTGAGAGAATATAGATAAACTGCTTTAGTCCAGTGTATGAACAGTGAGTTGTTTTAATATTTCAGAAAATCAAGTTCCAGTTTAAAGAGAATATAGTAATTTAAGAAATATATTTATGTAGAATGAATTTGTCTGTATTTTATATTAGAGTATCAATGGGTATGATGTCCTATCTGTTATTTAAATAACATTTTTTTAAACTACTTGTGCATCAAATTGCTTGTGAATATGTGACTTTGTTGTAACAGTGTCCCTAATAAAAAAAAAGTTTAACAGAAACACCACTCCTATTTCAGTTAATCCTATTAGCTACTGCTGGTCTTTTTATTCATTCAGCACATGTGTATGAATTGTTTATTCAATTCACAATTCCACACTACTTTGCCCCTCCCTGGAAAAGGTTTAGTCTTTGGGTTTAGGAGTTTGTGTGACTATAGAGCATAATACAAGTTATTCAGTAAGACTTGGAGCAAAAGTCCATGACTTTCAGTTGTAAGTATTATGGGAAAATGTGTGCTCACAATGATACCAAAATTAATAACTCATAAAGAAATTTGTAGCATGTGCTAATGAATCTAAGATAATTTTTTGTCATAAAAACAGGCAGAGACTTGGGTATTAATATGGCTAAAATCAGCAGTAATCCTATCTGTTTACAGCAAATGAAATAAGAAAATATTTGTAGTTATAAAGTGGTCCCAGTCAGGGAATAACTAGACATTGTACATGTACATCATATATGAATTCTGGTATAATAAAAAACTAATCTCAGGTGATAGTATGGCTAAAGTTAATATTTATCTTATCATGTCTTGACTAAATTCCCACATCTACATGTGTCTTCATGCATTGCACAAGCTTATGATGTAATTGTCATAATGTTGTAGCTCTCCAACAATAGGAGATATACATGACTTTCATAAGCAATATCTCCCATGAGCACTAGGACATAATCATAGGCTCATTCTTTCCTCAGCACAACCTGTGTTCCAACATGTTTTTTTCTATGCTTTTTGAGTTTCTAGTAATATTAATTGACTGCCTTTTGTTCTTTAGTGCTACATTGCTTTTGTCTTTTTGCACCTGATGACAACTTCATTTTCTCTAGCCACCACATTTTTACTTTAAGCTACTTTCAACAATGCATACCAAGTAAAATATATAAAATCACAAGGTCCAAACATTTCTTTTCAGGCATTTTTGCTTACTCAATGGCAACTGGAGACACTATCTGTTCATGGACTTGACATTCAGTTGCTAGAGTACTCAGTAGAGCACATGCATGCATGTGACAGGTCTCAGATTTCACTTTGTGGTGAGGTATTTTTTATGATGTGAATAAATTAGCTTCCACATTTTTTTTAGCAGTGATGGACCATGGTGTACCATTAAATTAATTAATGATTGTCCTACTCTTGTACTCTATCCTGACCCTTCACCTCCACACTGAGGCTCTTCATTATGACCCTAGCAGTTTTGGTGAGACACGTATTCTTCTTTGTTTGCTACTTCGTTTTCCATTCCTCCTTTCCTGGTTCCTTTGTTCATGGGATCTCCTCAGCCAAGTGTCTGCATCCCTTTCACTTATATCCGAGACCTTCGTGTCACTCATTTTCTTAGTGACCTTATCTTTAGGGGTGTACCCAACTCATTGGAATCCAGTGCTTAAACTGTTTGTCTGAATTCTAGTATTGTTTCCTTGATATTTTGACTCACCGGTCCTTGGGTAGTTCTATCTGTTACCCATCTTCAGGAGTCACTTTGGACTACCCATCTATTCTTCATTGTTTTCTTGCTGCTGTTCATCTTCTCCATTCCCATGTAACTATCTGTAATGTCTCTCATTAGTAACTCTTCTCTGGAAACAACCGTGGGCTCTGATCCCATCAGTACCTGCCTCTCCCACTTTCCTCTCTTGTGTTATTCCTTCACCAGTGATCCTGGGTTCTACATGTTCTTTCTCCTCATTTCACTCTCCTCTTTCAGACAAAGTGTCTTACTTCTGCTCACACACATAGCTATTCTTGTTCAGTGCTGTTCTTTATTTGCATACCACAAGCCTTATTATTATGTACCCTCTCAGTTCACTTGGTTTAACTGATTCATGCATATTAGCATGTGACAAACCTCCACCAACAGACATGTCTCATACTCATGTGACTCCTTCTATGCTATTCTACCAAACTATCACTTCTCTTTTCGCAATGCTTGTGTTGAGGCATTTTCTTTAATGATCTTTCAAATCGAAAATATATTTTTCTTGGCATTTCTTTATACCAACATTATGAATTCTGAAATAAATGTTACCAAGTCAGAGGTTGTACCTTCTACCATCTTATTTACTTAGGCTTCCAGTGGGAGTAACTTGACTTTGGAATTATTGGCAATTATTCACCAAGAGATTGATCATCATTTGAAACAACCTCCTGAACATGCCAAACCTGTTTGGTACGACAACAGTTTTGACAGCATTTTTCTTTCACCTGAATTTGCCAGGTCTTCCCTGGTTACTTGTGGGTTCCATTAGGCCTAATACAGCTTTTTTGGACATAATTTCATAGGTATGTTATGATTTAACCATTTCCCTGATTTCCTATGATCCTCTACCTTTCTTGTTACATACTCCTTCCTCTCAGTATTTTGTATTTCCACCCTCTCCTATATTATAGTTCATGCTGATCATTTTGTATCTCAGTTATGTGATGGCGTAAGCAAGCCTTCCCCTCTGAGGACTGCAGCTGAGTTTTTTGGCCTATCATCAGGCCAAAGTAAGTTACTTTTTCACTTATATAAAACCCAAATATGTTATAAACAGATATTGATAATATATGTTAGTTTATTCCCTGAATTAATATGCCACGAATTCTGTATTTTCTGCTTTTGATATGTAAAACTTATTGCATTCACTAGTTTTCATTTCTATAACTAATATATTGTATGACGTATATTTACCCTAAAAAGGATGCTTATTTAAATCTCTAAATGACATACAATAATTTAATTTTCATGTTTATTCATTACCATTGTACAAAATTATATCCTTACCTTTCTGTACAAATTTCCACATCTTTTTCTAGAACTTGTTTATTGCTGGTTTGGATGTGATGGGCTTGAAGAGGACCTTTACATTTCAATTGTCAGTATCTTCAGGTTAATATCCATTGTCTTTTCCATCATGTAGACAAATTCTCATTTAAAAAGATAACGAACATTTTCCAAAGTGATGTGATCTGACATGACCACAGAATGTTTCTTCATTTTAGAAAATTGTATAAAACATATCATTCACTTGAAATTCATAAGTGACATGACTATCCAAGTCATGATGAAATTTTGGACAGTAGAAATTTTGACCCTCTTCCTTATAGTGTACCTCTACAAAATGTTATTAGAGAGAAGTTTTGGACGTTGACAACTTATAAGAAACGAACATTTAGCAGATATCTAATCCTGGTAGATAATACTGCGTATTAGATATTTCCTTCAAGATTGCAGTTTGTAGGCTCAGAAATACTCGTTTATCACTATTTTCCATATCAAAATGGATATTTTCCTCACAAAGATATTGATATTTTGAAACAATGTTATGGTAACATGGGATTCATTATCCTTCACTTCAATTATACTTTATACAAAAATCATCAAATATATTGACCATTTTTGTCGGTTAGAATTGTATGATATATATCATATGAAATGTAATAGTTTCGTGTTTTCATTTATTGCATAGCATAAAGATAGAAAATGTACATGAATCACAACCTGTTTTCCAACTTTTGTACAATTCTACTTTATGTCCATATTACTATTTGTTCAATTCTGTATGTAAGACATTTAATATAGTTTATAAACTAAAACGTTAATGTATAGTTCTTCTATTTTGCAGAGTTTGTCATACTTTACAACGAAAACATTTTATGCTCACTACTTGGTAAGACTAAACCGTGCCTGGCATCCGGCAGTTGGTAAAAAAAACTCAGACAGGGTCTGTCTACAAATACTTCAAATTACATCTAATGCCAATCTTAGGTTCATAAATCACTAAGATTAAATATCAGATAACCATGGATCTAACTTAGTCTTTTGTCATACATTACACTCCAAGAATAACAATTTCTAAGAAATGGGCCTGGCATGGCCAGGTACTTAGGGTGCTCGACTCGCAATTTGTGGGTTCGAAACCCAATCCAAACAAACATGTTTTTCCGTGGGGGCATTATAATGTGATTGTCAATTCCACTATTCATTTGTAAAAGAGTAGCCCAAGAGTTGGTGGTGGGTGGTGATGACTAGCTGCCATTCCTCTAGTATTTCACTGCTAAAATAGAGATGGGTAGTGCATATAGCCTTCATATAGCTTTGCAAGGAATTTCAAACAAACAAATTCTAACAAATATTAAGTATGACCACTAACTACATATGCTGTAAGTAGGTAATGTCGCTCTTGTCATATTGGTTTGCAGAAATGATACTAGTGAATGAAGTTGTTTGAAATATGACAAGAAGTTACATAAAATAATGTAGTTTCAGAAAAAATAAGATATTAATTTTGATTTATTTTTTCTACTATTTCTATTAAAATTTCATTACTTAATGTAGGTATTTGCAATCAGACTCTGAACAGTTCACCTGGAAGATGATTTCATTTTAAGTATAAAAGTAGAGACTTGTATTAGATGTTCAAACATATTAGTTAAAAACTGACATTCACAGGGTGCAATGTATCATAAAAGTCTAAATTAGACACATAATTATCTGTTCTTTGGCGTGACCAGAGTAGAATTAAATTACTTTTTGTTAGTGAGCTATCAGCCTATATTGGCATTAGTTATATTTTCCGACTGACACAACCTGAACTTTTGTCTGATTACTGCACAGTTTAGTCTTACTGAGTAGGAAACATAAAATGTTTTATTGTAAAATACTTAACAAAATACAAGAATTGTACATTAACTTTTTAGTTTATAAACTATATTAAAAGTCTTACATACTGAACTGAAATAAGCAAGTAGTAAAATATACATATAGTAAAAATGTACAAAAGGTTTATGACAAGTTGTGATTCATGTACAAGTTCTTTGTGCCATATAGTGGGTGGAAACAAGAAATATTAGATTTTGTCTTATATATAACAACACAGAAGTCTGAATTACAACTGACAAAAATGATTAATATAATGATTATCTCATATAAAGTATAAGATAATACATCACACATTACAATAACATTATTTCAAAATCTCAATATCTATGTGAGGAAAATATCTGTTTTCAAATGCAAAATAGTTGATAAAATGCTTTTCTCAACCTACAAACTGAAATCTTGCGTGATAATTCTAATGAAATATTATGCAGGAATCAAATATTTTTTCAAGAACTTTTTATAGTGTTATGCTAAAAATATGTAAAACTAATCACCAAAATAGCAGACGTACAGAATGTTTTTGACTTTCATTCACAGGATGTTGCTATAAGGGTTAGAAATATGTTAAATGTATGTGTTCCTTAGAATTTGCCAAAGTTGAAAGCTTCTCTCTAATAACTTGATGTATTGGCAGACTATGGGAGAGAATGTCAAAGTTATATTGTCCAAAATTCTGGCACGATGCAGATAATCATGTCATTTATGAATTAAAAGTCTATAATATGTCTTATATAGTTTTTGAAAGTGAAGAAACATTATATGGTTATGTTAGGTCGAATCACTTCTGGGAATATTTCTTATTTTTTGTTGAGGGTGATTTATTCTGGTTGATTACTTACATAT